ATTTATATTTATATTTATATTTATATTTATATTTATTTACATATATTTATATATTTGTAGACGTCTTAAAATCAAGTTTGGCCGTTTCTAAAAACAGATCAAAAATATTTGGCTAGACTGCCTCCAAATGCTAAAAGTTCTGTTCACCAAACTAATAAATCGCAAATAAAATTATTCGCCCTACCTCTTCTTTTTTCGAATTCCTGAGTGTAAATTTGATATCCATAGAATCAACATCGTCGGTCTTATTTTCTTTACTTTTAGGAAAACAGAGTAATTCATTATAAGAAAGCTTCTCTGTAGAGGTTTCCTCAAAAAACAAAAAAAAAAATAGAATAGAGATTAAAAGATAAAAATTTTGCAAAAAGTGCTGTCAAAAAGAAATAACAAATTTATAACTAAAAAGTAAAGGTCTTTTTCTCTTTACGTCTCAAGTAACAAACTTTAATCGATGACGGTCTCAAAATTTCGCCTAACCCAAATTCTCTGACACCGAACTGTAATTCCATTATTAAGTTGTCCACGAGCCTCGTCAATGTATATTCAAATATTACACTAATACCACAAAAACTAAATAAGATCAAGCTTTAGCACAACTTTCTTCATTTACGGCAAAAAAAAAAGCGCAGGAGAATTTTGCTGCGAGAACACACCTCAGCTGATCTTCAGAAAAAAAGCGATCAAAAGTTTCCCTATAATCCCGTAAAGTACCATGGGCGTTTAGTTCGAAAGATTTCGCTTCATCAAAGAACGTTTCCACTTTTTTTTCATAAGATTCGATTGAATCAGGAATCGCGTTCATCTCAGTTACCAAACTGAAAACTACATTTTAATCCGACTTGAGCGAATCCAAAAATGCTCGCTCGTTATGCCGCTCAATTTGGAGATTAAATGTGCCTGAAGATGAGAGGACTATGAAGAAATAAAAACAAGCCTTTTAAAAATTGCCAGTTTTCTTAAACCGTCATTATATGGCACGACCACTAAAAGCTTCTTTGCACTAATAGTCAGCGAAGTCTCTGAATAAATAGAAGCTCAGAAGAAAACCGTGACGAAAAATGAAGAAACGCCACATTTCTAAGGGGTTTATTACTGAGTATGAATGAAAAAAAGGCCTAACTTTCAGTAATTGCATTCCTGACAGAGTTGCCACTATAAGCGAAAATTGAATCAGACTTCTTAACTGTGAACGATACGGGATCAGTAGCAATGACAGGAGACAATTCCAAGGGAGTATTACCATCTGTAACACTTTGTTTTTTTGAAGTGGGGTGATCAACAAGATTAGCAAGCCTTGAAAATTAAAAAAACGTCGTGGTTACTAACCGTCAGATAGGTGAGACTACGAAGAAGTGAAAAAACTACGTTAAACAGTGTACATAATTAACAGGAATCTGCGTTATAGTACGAATTGGTCTTTTTGATATTTTTCAGCTAAGTGAGTTATCTTTTCTGAAGAGATTGATTTTTCATTAAGGCAGTAAATAAGTTTTATAAGTTTTCCCAAATTTTTAATAAAATAAATGCGGATAGTTCTCGTCAAAAAACAAAAACAGTAAGAAACAGTCAAACAAAAACGGTTGGTTTCATTAGAGCAAAAGAACAACCAAAGAAAGTTCAAGTTTTCAAGGGGAGATTCTAATGAGAAGATGATGGAAGTCAGCATATATAAAAATACAAGACGACCAAAAAAATCAGAAATTTGAGGAGAAGTCAAATACCGAGTAAACAAAGCCTGAAACAGCGAAAAATACAAATATTATCATCCTAAAAGCAAAAATCGCGATCTTTACCCCGACACCTAAGAAACAAGTATTAAAAAAACAAAAAAAGAACTCGTAAACAGTTGAAATTTTACTAAATATTATAAGTGTTACACTGAATTTTTGCATAAAAAGACCAGTTTGATCTCGTAAACTCTTCTTATTTTAGTAGTGTAAACTTTATATAAATATCAAAAAACATTTTTGAAGCACTTTTTTTAGATAATGTAACTTTCACTTTACTTCTATTTACTCGTCTAAATCTCGTACCTAATTATAAATTTTTCTGTTAATTTAAATAGATTATATTGTGAATTTCAATTTTTTTTTGAAAAATCAGAGTTAAAAAAAATGGGGAGGTTTATCAGGCATTTCTGCATTAATATATGTTGATAATAAAGAGTTACCCAACGCCTAATAGGTTACAAAGCGCATACAAAAAAGTATACAAATTTACGAGATAAAAATTGACGAACAAAAATTATATAAAAGTGATGTAAAATACCTTTTCTTGAGTAGAATATCGTCTGAAGAAGATCATAAACTAGCTTGATCTGTGTCGGAGTAGCAAAAATATATACGCCATCTAAGTCGAGGTAGATCTTCTAGAGACAGAGGAAGACGGCGTTTAGTTAAGAGAACTCTAATTCAGTACTACTTTGAAAAACAAGTTGTTTCAGTAGACTAACTCAGTCAATGCAAACAGAATTAAATTGAATTGAAATAAAAATGTAATTGATCAACAAATTAAAAGTCTAAGCAAGATAGATGATAGTACCTGATCAAAAGGTTTGTTTTTCTCATTGCCCCTTTCAGTACAAATGTAAATATATTGCTCTTTACCTAAAACTTCTGCAAACTGAATGCGGTTCATCTTGATTCTGAAATTTTACACAAAAATTTTAAAGTAGATCAACAAACGTCAAAAACTTGAAGCGTGATATCTTTTGAATCAAGACGGCCTGACTCCACGACTGTTAATGAAGTACTGAAAGTTGAATTAGCACTTTTGTCTTAGCAACACTCAAGATCAGAAACGCAAGACTAAGACAGCGATCAAAAACGTAAATCCTAAATGGAGTAAAGCACAAATTTTATGCTTTTTTAGTGCGGAAAATGCAGATTTCTTAAAGAAAAAACTGCTGTTTACAACAAAATGAATACTGTGCAAATCCTAAAAAAATATCTTTAAAAAAAATATTTGTTTAGAATTGGTTTCAGCAACTCTAAACTTAGCGAGAATTTTAACGATGAATTGAAGAAAATAAACAGCAACTAGTCAGAAATGATTATTTATTTTCGACTGTAGAACTTTTTGATAATCTTTTGTTGTTATTGTTTTCATTAATTCTGCAACCTAGAATATGTTAACAAGATGAACTATCTATTACCATAAATTAAAAATAATAAAAAAGTAGCAAGTTTACTAAATTTGAACGTAAATCAGCAGCTTAGCTTATTTGGCGCGTAAAAAACAAAGTTGTTTGATCAAGCCAAAGTAATTTTGAGACTGAATCAGGATAATGTCTAAAATAGAAAGATTTCGTTGGTTTAGTAAGCGAGCCTACTAGTGGCATATATGAAACTAAGAAAGCATAGCTTCAGTTATTTACTAAAGAAAACTAGCAAAGAAAATAGCAAATAAGTACTAACAAAGGTTTGAAAACTTTTATGACAAAAATAAGTCTCGACAGAAAAGAGGCTACAGTAAAATTTACCGTGAAAAATGAGTGAATAATCGAATCCCTCTTGTACGAACAACCTTATTTTTCGAAACTACCTTCTCCACTGTTGAGGTAGTTTCAGAAGAACTGTTTGCGGCAGAATCTTTGTTTTTTAAGAGCAAATCAGACTGATTCTTTAAAAGAGAATTTTCGCTAGGTCCTGATTCCTGGTCCACTTGTTGATCAATAAGTTCTAACCTGAATACATCACAGTTACGCATCAATAGTGAAAATAAAAAAACAGCCAAAATACAGACCATTCAATTTCAAGTTCAACACATCTACGAAGGCCTGTTGCAGGTTCAGGGCAACCTTCTACAAGAATAATGCTTTCGAGAAATCTTACACGCAGCTGTGAAGCCAAACGGTCAATAATCTGTTTCAAATAAAGAGATCAGTATAGCAAGGTGCTACCTTTACTTTGTTTATTTAAAAGAAAAAAATTATTAGACGTGAAATATTTTGAATAGTCAAGGTTGAATGGTTGATTGGAATTGATTTGGTACAGATAGAAGAGGTGACTACATCTTTCTACAGCATAAAAAATATTTTAAACAGCTATAGAAAAATCTGAAGTAGCTTCAAAGCAAAAAATGTTTCTGAATTGAACAGCGAAATTGATAAACCTACATCACATTCTACAAACAGTGTTTACAAAGCTTTATTAAGAAGTACTAATATAACTAAAATTTCGTGAGCGAAACCTGTTCATTGTTTCAAAATAAATGTGAAGCAAAAAAATTTCAAAAAAACAAAATTTACCTTATTCATTTATCTGATTTAGCTAAATCGTTAGCTTAAAATGCTTATTGATAAAACTTTACCAAAATTTTACCGGAACCCAAAAAACAAGTGCTCTTTCATGACACAAAAACAACATACTTTGACAAGGTCAGATATACCATATTTACCACTCGTTTTCGCATTTTTTGCTAAACATTCAGCAACTTCTGTGAAAGTTGACATAGAATTAATCACAATATCGAGAGCAGATGTAACTATAAACAGTGCAATATGAATATTTCTTGCAATTACTGTCAGAAATAATATAAAAAAGCTAAGGTATTGAAAAGCTTATAACACTGAAAATTCTAAACCAATTTGAAACTTTTCAAATTTTATAAGAAAGGTAATCCTAACAATAAAAAGTGTCTTCGCTCACCTAAATCTTTTATACTGCTCTCTTTCGGTGTTCTTTTTGGGTGTAATTTCAATTCAAGACCACTGACTTTAATCTCGAAAGAGTCTTTAGAGGCCTCATTAAACGGCATTAATACATCAATTTTCTTAAAAAGTCCATCACCTATCTCTAGGGGGATGTTCCTAGCCTTCAGCGATTCATTGATAACCTGAAAGCAGTAGCAAAACTATGTTAAATAAGAATGAAACAACTAAAACATTCACTTTATATGACTTTCAATAAAAGCGAACATTAAAATAACTTTTTAAGATTTTAATCAATTAAAATTTTCAAAACAATAATGAAACTCATTACTATTAACTGAAAACTATGTATCAAATTCGTCTAAAACAATCAAAATTACCTTTATGTCCAGTTTAACGTTCTCCGCTGCTGCATGTCCCTTTGAAAGTTGGCAAGAAAAAGTTGCTGAGTCGTCCTTCAACTTACAAAATTTACTTATATAGTGGCGAACGAGAAAACAATATGCCTCTTTTTCTGTTTTATCCTCGCTCCTAAAATTAAACACTTCTAGACGCTTTTCTAATAAATTTCTAATGTTACTGTTCACACTTATAAATCAAATCTAGACTGCACTTCTTTTTTGCGCTTGGTAAGAGCAGTTTTTTAAAATACCACTAACAACATCACAAATAGCCACTTATAGCTGTTAGGTGAAAGTGACGTTTACCTGCGGTACAGAGCATCGAGAAACAGATACTTTTATTAGAAAAACTATTTACAAATAAATTGGTGCAAGTACTGCTTTAAGAAGCAATTTTTTTAAAATATGTTCTAAATATAAGCTCACTGTTATTTCTCTGTGGAGCACAGAGACCTTTCCACAATGACTGAACATACAATGCACAATTGAATGACAAAAAAGAAGAGAAAATTCTTGATGTATACTTCAAAAACTTTTAATTTTGAAAACTAAAAAGCATGATCAAAGCACGTTTATCACCTAATTGATATATATGAAATTAGTGCCAGCTTTTCTGAAAAAAAAAAGTTAGTTCTCTTGCTAAACCAAAATAAATTTAAAATTTTTGTTACAGTTGCATTGCATTTCCAAGTTATTCCTACTACAGTTATATGCTGGAAATCTAGACATAAACTCGGTCAAAAAACTTCATCTATAATATTATTACTACACATGTCTGCTCAACTAGTGTATCAGTTAATCGTTTATTCATTCCAAGATCTCATACCGCAGTAATTATATTTTTTCGCACAACCTTTTTTTGTTATACGACTGACTGAATGCAAGCTTTATTACTTACCTTGAAAAAAATTACTTACCTTTTTTTAAAGAAATTTGTAACCATTTTGAGAAAAAATCGGCGACAGAGGTAGAAACTTAAAAGACCAAACTAAAAATTACAGCCAAATAAAATGCCAGTTGTCACAGTATTCACGATAACGAGAAAAAAGATAAGAAGAAAGAAATAAAACTCAGGCACAAGTTGTACACAGTAACATACTATAAACTTGAAGCTATTAATAATGTATTATTAGCCAGAAAAAGTCTAAGAGACGAAGTTTGGAGACTGCTGCACGAAAATAAGACATAAATTAGTGAATTCAAAATGTCACAACAAATTTAAGTACCATGCGACAACAAAGCAAGCATAATCACCTTTTTTTTTTTTTTTTCTGTAAATTTTCCTCTTCGTGGTTTTTTTAGTTTGTTGAGCTCTTCTATTAATACAATGCAATCACGAAAGTTATCTTAATTTAAATTCTTAACAATCATGTTTTTTGTTTTGCAAGAAAATTCAACTGAATCTCTTGTCAGATAAAGCTTTATCAAAACACATCTGCAAATATTAATTGCTAGGGTTATTAAGTACTAATCAAATTAGTTCATTTATCACAATAAACATGTTTTATTCTGCTTGTAAATTTCCTGTTTGAAATATCTTCAAAATCTGTTACCATTTTAGTGGAACAATGACAAGTGATGTTGATTCTAATAACAAAGTCAGATTTTAATAAATGTTACATGAAAGGAGGTTTTCACACAGAAATGCACAAGAACTGTTCTTTCATTTTCTTCAGTTTTACTTGGTCTATATTTAGGGGGGTCTATATATGAGTCTATATTTCCACCTTTTCAAATTTTATAACCGTAGAATTAAAGCAATTAAACCTAAAAAGATTGTTATCTTGTTGACACTTTTTTCAGCAGATATTGTAAATTTGAATACATGTAATGACAAAGCCGTCTATTAAACACAGGTCAACTGCAAACTTATTGTTCAATATTTCTGTTTGAATTGATCATTAAATTGTATATAGAAGGTTTTTTTTGTACAGTCTTTAAATGGTAACTTTATAAGGCAATGAAACAATAGTTATGTAACTGTTGATTTTGCAAGCAGTAAAAAAAATTCTATCTTTCATATATCAACTACGTAAACGTGACAACCAGACATAGTGCATGCATTCAATATGGCAGCTGTTAATGCCCAAAACTGTGTAGCTTTGAAAAATTACTAAAAGATACTTCAGTAATTGACATCTTACCATACCTATCTGTTTTGCAAACGACAAAAAAAATTAAAGTTCAACATACGCAGTCAGTAATTTTACTTTTGGATCACTTAAACTTAAATTTGTTCACTGGCAGTTATGCAGCAAACAAGCAAACAAGAAGATAAAGACTCTAAGTTTCTTCTTGATCTGTTGTTTTAATACTGGCTTGCATCCGTTCCACATTTAGTCCTTTCAAAAAACGGTGTAGATAAAGATAGGTTTGTATCTTTGCTTTGAGGACGTTCCACTACTTGCAGAGGGAAATGAATTGCTTCGCTGGCAACCATCAACAGGAGACCGGAGAACTGAGAAGAAATTAGAGTGGAGGGTGACGGTGGACGGATGCTTAGATAGAGCTTTTAAAACTCACGGAAGAATTTTACTCAGTTGTGTAATTAACTATTCAGTAATACTAAAGAATGTGGTCATGTATGTAAGCATTACAGGTTGTGGCAGAGAAAAGCTTGGGTAGGAATAACACATGTGAAAAAGCTAAGAAGTTGTACAAGTGCTGAAACATTTGTTGAACTAAATCTTTTTTTAAAATATTTGTTTTAGGATGATTTTGTACAGACAGTAGAACTATGCAATGCGAAACTGTTTATTGTGTAGACGGTTTTCCTGTATTGCAATACAGGTGGGACATCAAAAAAAGTGAAAAACAGGACGCTGCTTCACGCTGCCTCAAGCTGATAGCTAAGAAACAGAGGCGTATACGGGGTTTGAAGACTGATAATTATTAAGCTGTTTCTTTATGGAAAAGGTTAGAATGTAGGAATTACCTGTAAATAGTTATTTGCTATACTTGCTTCTCTGCGCGTTAAAGAACTAAAGTCCCTCCTCCCCCAGATGAGGGTAAATGAAAGATTGAAGGCCCTTCTTTTATGGGGAGATGAAGTACAGTGTTTCACGAAAAAGTGATGCTTTCTCCTAATAGTAGTTGCATAAAGAAGAACAGGTAATGTGTACCAAAAAACTGCTAAAAATAGTCGCTTATTATTGATGAATAATGGGTAAAAGCTGTATCAAGTTTTGCGACATTGACATGATGCATAAGATAGTATTTATAGCTCTAATGTAAGGGGAGTAGGCGGAAAAGAGTTATTTGTATTGTCAGCAAATCGTCTTAAAAAAGAGTTTTGAACAGTATGTGTTTATTTTAGAAAAACGATGGCACACTTATCTTTCACTTTTTTCTTTTCGATCTCAACCTTTATCAGTTGGTACCAACTTGTGAAACAGAAACAATAGGTTTCATTAATAACTACCAATGCTGTTTGGCAATTGCAAATTACAATCCAATAATCTTGTAAAATTGCTGCGGAAAAAATTTTTTGACATGCAAAACTTTCTTTCTGTGTCACTGGGAAAGTTAAAAATTTTTTTTAAACCTTGCTTTTTCTCTTTGAAATTAAGCGTATGTAAAATTGAGAAACTTTTCTTGTTATATAAAATTGATGAATGAAAGATTAAAAAAACTTTTTAATAGTTAAAAAAAGGATAATAAAATCAACGAGAACGTACAAAGTACACTTAGAACATAAAAACGAAGGCTAAAAAAAACCAGGTCAGACAAAAAATCATTTTATGCTTTTAAAAATGAGAGTATTCATTTCTCTCTTCTTTTATAATTTAAGAATTGAGGTTGATTTAGACGACGATTTCACCGCGTAGTTGCACCAGCACAATCCGCGACACGCTTCTTGTGGAATCCCAGTATACAGATACGTATCAAAAGAGCCTTGAATACGTTGAAGCCAATTAAACTCATCAGTATGATCTGAAGCACGTGTGTCATTAAACTATTTAAAAAAACAGTGGCAACAAAAAATCATTGAGTTTTATTGTGCAAAATGAATTTTCTGCTAACCACCTATTTCGTTGACAAATATTTGTACTCATAAAAAAGGTTTTTTAATCACGACGAGTTCATTCGTTAAACTTTTTGCAAAAATAGATGCTATCCTTTTTTAAAACAGTGACCTTCTACTCATTTGCACAAAACAACTGTTTAATTACATTACATTTTAATCAACAGCATAATCACGTTTATTTTAAAAGATTTTTCTGTTAACCATTATTTAGACCACTTTTTTTCACATTACGTGAACGAAATGTAAAAATTTTGTAGGGAATTGATTGAGTCAGTTATAATCGGTGTTTTAATTTACTCAATTTTTAAAGAATATTTTCTAATTGAATAAATTTCAATAATTCAGTACAAAAAAACAAACGTACCAAGTACAAAAAAATATTTTTTTTTGCATAATTGGTTATTGTTACTGTCTGCTTACAAATAAAAACTTAAAAAGAACTAGATGTTTTTAAATGAAAAAACTGGAAAAAAATAGGTTATTTTATGGTACTTCTCAGAACAGTCGATATAGATATTAACACTATTATATCAGCATATTTACAAAGTGAAGTAAGCTAGAATTTTCATTTAGGATTCACACACTAGAAACTGTAAGCTGATGTAAACGTTGTTGTCATCGCTATTGAAGTGTGCACCTACTTCAGTTTCAGTTACAGCTTTGAAAACAATTTGATTTAGCAGAAAATGGAAAACGAAAAGGAAGAGAACAAAAAAGACAGAAGTGGCGAAGACATAAGGAGGAAAAAGAAGAAAAAGAGGAAATGAGGAGAACATAGTCTTCTTTTTTTGCTGATAAATGCAACTTTGACGGCAGTGGAAAGAAATACAATGATTTGACAGCATTTTAACAAAACTCTTCGGAGAAAGGCAGTAACCTATCGAACTATAAAGATTTACAAAAGAACAGCAGAAAAACGAATAACCAATAAAAAATACAAGAAAGCACCTGGATATCATGTTGGATACATCCGGTGGCTAAATCATGATTGCCAATTAAACGTACTGCTTGTTTCGCAAAATCTTTCGCCGTTACAATCCAGAATGACCCTTTATGAGCACTATAGAAGGCAATCTTTGTTGCGACGAGCAGCGGAACCAGGCACTTCAAATTGGTAATTTTATGTTCAAAGGTTATTCTTATTTAACTGCATACAAAGTAGCAGTAATTTTGCTTTGCACTTGTTTTATTTTATTTTGCCCCGATAGTCAATTATACACATCAAGAAAATTGAAAATATCAAAAAATTTTTAGATATAAGGATTTTTTAGATTTAATTGCGGAAGTTTTGTACCTGAACATGTATATTGGAGTTCCTAAACTCATCTTGTAATGCAGATGTGAAGAAGTTGATTGCTGCTTTGCTTGCCGGATACGAAGACATGTACGGTAATGGCCGCCAACCCTAGAAGCACAAATTAGTCATAAGAAGAACTATGTCAAATCTGCAGTGTTTGTTACCGATAACACTTAGAAGCCGAATCATCAGGTACAAAAGGCTTTTTCTACAAGGATATTAGTGTAATTCAGTTGAGCAACAGCATCAGTTTTGAGAATCTCTAGGCCGAAGAAGGCTATCCAGCTTTATTGAGAAAACAAATTTTTATGTAATTTGAAATCAGTTTTTTTTGTCTGCCAATCGTATAAAGATATTTGTATCAGAAATTGTTTTGTTAAAACCTACAGTCATTG